CGGGAGCAGCCACTGCACTCCAGTCTGGGCGATGGAGTGAAACTCCAACTCAAAAAAAAACAAACAAAAGAAAGGAGGAACCTTGGAATAAATCTAATGAATGAGACTTCATGAATGTCTTTTCTTCCTCTCTCCTTTCTTGGACAAGCCCCAAAGATGCCAAGCCCTAGGGGTGTTCAGAAGGGTATGTGTGCAAGAGTTCCACCCTCCTGACTATACCGGGGACACCAAAAAATGTATACACATTTTAAGAGATGTTATGTATGTATTGCTTTTAGTTCACCATAACCAGAAGTGTCTGGATACTGATGGTAACCACTTTGAACATGTCTTGCGATTGCAATTTTAATTTTTATACAGTTTTTTCTTTTCTTAAAATGTGTATGCATTTTTTGGGCACCCTCTGTATATGATATCTTCCTTTGTTATCAGATATTAGCAAAGTGACAGACAGTCCGTGCGCCTCCAGCACAGGGCTGCCCCTCCTCTGCTCTAGGCCTCTCTGCTTGTTCTCCCAGTACCCGCCACTGCCTTTTTTCTTCCACCCTCTGGCCCTCCAGCTGTATCCAGATGCCAAACTTCTTCACCTCCCTGGCCACTGTGAGCTTTTCTCCAGCGCTGAGCACTGAGCTGAATGCGCCTCACATGAATCATCTCGTGAAAACAGTGTCCTCCCTGTTTCCCAGGTGCAGGGCTTCTTGATAACCCCATTTCACAACTGAAGAGGTGGAGACTGATAGACTTAGTCCCTTGTCCAAGGTCAGGGGAGTTGGGACCACAACACAGGCAGCCACCAGACAACATGTCAGTTCACAGCCCCTGAGCCTCAGCCAACTCTTGGGGGTCTTTCCCAGGAAGATTAGACACTCCTGTTGATGGGGGCATCTCATAAAATTCATAGCTAAGTCCTTGCTCCCCTGCCTGCATCAGACGCAATCTGGGAATTTTTTTTAATCTCATTGCTTTGTTCTACCTTGGTTTTTAAAAAATTATTATCATTGTTAATTTTTTTTTTTTTTTGAGTTAGAGTCTCATTCCGTCTCCCAGGCTGGAGTGCAGTGGTTCACTCACGACCACCCCAGCGTTGACCTGCTGGGCTCAGGCAATCCTTCCACCTTAGTCTTCCAAGTAGCTGGAACTACAGGCGCATGCCACCATGCCCAGCTTATGTGAATCTTTAAGAAGACGATGTGTTCCAGCCTGGGCAACTTGGCAAGACCTCATCTCTACAATAAATTTAAAAAAATTAGCCAGGCATGGTGGTACATGCCTGTAATTCCAGCTACTTGGAAGGCTGAGGCAGAAGGATCACCTGAGTCCAGCAGGTCAAGGTTGCGGTGGTTTTGAGTGTGCCACTGCATTCCAGCCTGGGTGACAGAGTGAGACTCCAGAGTGAATCAGCTAGGCACGGTGTCTCACACCAGTAACTCAAGCACTTTAGGAGACCAAGGTGGGAGGGTAGCTTGAGGCCAGGAGTTAAAGACCAGCCTGGACAACATGGCAAGACCTTGTCTTTACAAAAAATAAATACATTAAAAAAATATATATATATTTTTGAGTTGGAGTCTCTCTCTGTCACCCAGACTGGAGTGCAGTGGCCGCTCCCAGCCACCACAGCCTTGATCTGGGCTCTGGCGGTCCTTCTGCCTCCGCCTTCCAAGTAGCTGGAACTACAGGCGCGCGCTACCACGCCTGGCTAGTTTTTGATTTATTGTAGAGATGAGGTCTCGCCAAGTTGCCAGGCGGGTCTCGAACCCGCAGGCTCAGGCAATCCACTCACCTCAGCCAAGGTGCGGGATTACAGACTGAGCCACTGAGCCCAGCTAAAAAAAATTTTTTTTTGAGTTGGAGTCTCACTCTGTCACCCAGACTGGAGTGCAGTGGCCGCTCCCAGCCACCGCAGCCTCGACCGACTGCTGAGCTCCGGTGATCCTTCCGCCTCAGCATTCCAAGTAGCTGGAACTAGAGGCGTGTGCTACCACGCTCAGCTAATTTTTTTTATTGTAGAGATGAGATCTTGCTAAGTTTCCCAGGTGGGTCTCAAACCCGCGGGCTCCCAAAGAGCTGGGATTACAGGCTAAGACACTGAACCCAGCCCATAAAAAAATTTTAAGGCCGGGTTCAGTGGCTCATGCCAGTAATCCCAGCATTTTGGGAGATGGAGGTGAGAGGACTGCCTAAGCTCAGGGGTTTGAGACCAGCCTGGGCAACTTGGCAAGACCTTGTCTCTACAATCAATTTTTAAGAATTATCTGGGCCTGACTTGGTGGCTCAGCCTGTAATCCCAGCACTTTGGGAGGCCAAAGCAAATGGATTGCCTGAGCCCACGGGTTCGAGACCAGCCCAGGCAATTTAGTAAGCCCTCGTCTCCACAATAAATTTTAAAAACTTAAAGCCGGGTGTGGTAGCGCGCGCCTGTAGTTCCGGCTACTTGGAAGGCTGAGGCAGAAGGATCACCGGAGCCCAGCAGGTCGAGGCTGCGGCGGCCGGGAGCAGCAGCCACTGCACTCCAGTCTGGGTGACAGAGTCAGACTCCAACTCAAAAAACAAAAAAATTTGCCGGGTGCAGTGGCTCATGCCTTTAATCTCAGCACTTTGGGAGACCGAGGTTGAGAGGACTGCCCGAGCCCACAGGTTTGAGACCAGCCTGAGCAACGATAAAACCTCATCTCTACAAAAATTTAAAAATTAGCCGTATGTGGTGGTGCATGCCTGTAATTCCAGCTACTTGGAAGGCTGAATTGGAAGGATCACCTGAACCCAGCTGGTCGAGGCTGTGGTGGCCATGAGCGTGCCCCTATACTCCAGCCTGGGAGACGGAGTGAGACTCCAACTCAAAAGATTAAAATTAAAATTAATGTAATTTTGCTTGCTTCTTGATGCAGGGCCTCATATAATAAGGTTTGGACTTAATCTAGTGGGAAACCTTGAAGAATGCCTAATTGTAGAGTAACAAGATTTACATTTTAGGAAGGCTATTCAAGCTGCAATGAGGAGGATGGATGGAATGAAGAATAGAATCAGGGCATCCAAGTAAGAGGTGGCTGAATGGTGGCGATTCATGCAAGAAATGACGGTCTAGGTTCTAGAACAGTCCCTGGAACACTAAATTATTTGTCAACACAGTGAGAACAATGAGTGTCCTGAAGTCAAGAACACTCAGTGTCCAGAGTAGCATTCCAGGAGGAGTATTCCATATGAGAGTATCATATGCTGAAGAAAGATCAAGAAGTCTGTGAATTAGGAAATGTCCATGTCTTTTTAGAGGTTGGAAAAATTTTAAATGTCCTCTAGATTTAGCCACACAGAATAATCTTAGAGTGACAAGTTGGGCTGAGTTGAGTGGAGGTGATGAGCAGAAGTCAAAGTGGGTGGATGTCAGAAGAGGCGGCAGCGAAGGGGAACTGTGATATGACGGTTTGGTTCATCCTTTTATTTATTTATTTATTTATTTTTTTAGTTGGAGTGTCACTCTGTCGCCCAGACTGGAGTGCAGTGGCCGCTCCCGGCCACCGCAGCCTCGACCCGCTGGGCTCCGGCGATCCTTCCGCCTCAGCCTTCCAAGTAGCCGGAATTACAGGCATGCGCTACCACGCCCGGCTGATTTTTTGATTTATGGTAGAGATGAGGTCTCGCTGCCCAGGCGGGTCTCGAACCCGCGGGCTCAGGCAATCCACTCACCTCAGCCTCCCAAAGGCGCGGGATTACAGGCGGAGCCACCGAGCCCGGCTTGGTTCATCCTTAGTCAATGGAGCTGTCTCAGCTCCCCAGGGGAAAGTCTTGGAAGACACGTGGTCTTATCATGGCCGTCCCTCTCCCGTGCAGAGACTGCTCCTGGCATGGTTACTAAGGAATCGAGAAAGGGCAAGCAGCTATTTGTCTCGAACGCAGGGTTAGCCCGAAGGTTCAGGGAAGGATGGGGCGGGGTGGTGCGAGCCGGCTTCGAGGCCGGAGGACTGCAAGTCCCATGATGCACCGGGGGATCCCGTCCAGGAGGCCCGCGGGCTCCGCTGCGCTTACGCCGCTAGCACGGCGGACTTACGTCGTCGGCACCCGCCACAGATGGCCTCGGCGCCCGAGTGGGTGTGGCTCCCGGGAATGCCCCGCCCCCAGAACGGTGCTCCAATGGGAGTCGCCCTCGTGTCCATGGCGACGGCGGCGGCGGCGGCCCGCT